AGAAGGGCCCGTCGCGGTGGCACCGTGGTCCCCGTCCCACCCCAACCAGCCTCTCCCTTCTCAGCAGAGGCAATTGTCACGCTGGTGACGGTCCCCAAGGGGGACAAACTGCGCAGGAGCCACAGGACTCAAGCTGGGTCCCCAAGCCCAATGACACCCTGATGGGACCAGGATGGGGAAAGGGCCACTCCGGGGCTCAGGGTGGCCCTGTGGCTGCCCTGTGTCAGGCAGGAGCCACATCCCTTGGGGAAATTCTGGGAAAAGGGATGTCTGGAGGTGGGGAGGCCACCAAGCTCTCAGCTCCATCCTTCCCAAGGGACAGCCTGGTGACCCTGGAAGCCTCCTCACCCGGGCAGCCGCCAACGAAGACGTCCACTTCTATCTCGCGGAAATCCCTGAAGATCTGCAAGCAGCAGCAAGTGCAGGAGAGCGTCAGGCCCCTGCACGCGCGGGGACCAGGGCGGGCGGCCACCATCCCCCTGCCACCAAGGGGGCATTGGGGAAGCTTTCTGCAAGGTGGGCACCCTGTCTCCTCCCCAGCCCTCCCCTTACGTTCTTGAGGATCTTTATGGAGACGGTGTCCACAAAGTTGACGGGGCTGAAGTCCAGGATGACGCTGTGGAAGTCGGGCACGGGCAGGCGCAGGGTGCGCAGGGTGGGCTCGGCGGGCGCGCTGCCCTCCGCTCCCTCCTCGCTCAGCTCGATCACCGCGAGGCCCAGCCCGTTGCGCTCGTTGTCCGCGTCCTGGGGGAAGGAGACCCAGCCTCAGCTCACGGCAACTGCAAAGCGCCCCTAAAGGCCGTTGGGTTTGGCAAGGGGCCTTGGCTGCGTTGCGGCGAGGGCGGCGGGTCCCGGCGCGTCCCTCGCGCCTGCTCCTCGCTCGCAGCATGTGCAGCCCTCGCCGCTTTGCTGGCCCCAGGAGCCTCACGCTGCCCTGGCTCTCCCGTTGCCGATACGTGGGGCCTCCGGCCTCCCAGTAATGGCTTTGGCTGCAGCCAGGTCCATTAGCCGCTGGCTCTCCCTCCTGATGATTAACTCGCCAACCATTAGTGACTCACCGGCTCTTCCGCATGACCATGAGCAGCCTTGGCCTCACCTGCTGCCCTGGGCCACAGCTCCGTCCTCGGGGCCAGCCTCCATCCCTGCTCCTCACCTGGCCGCGCAGCCCCTGCTCACGTGCCCGCCGGCCGCGGCTCCCGGGAGCCCGCAGGGATTTCCGGGACGCCCAGCCCTTGGAGCGGGCAGAGGGCCTCGACGGCCGCGGCCCTGGGAAGCACCTTTTTCCTCTTTGCCTTCTGCTTCTCCGCTTTCTTCTGCTGTTTCTTCAGCTTCTTGAGCGCCTTCTTCTTCTTCTCAATCAGCCGGTCCACGTTGATGCCGCTCTGTGAAACGACACGGCCCCCATTGCTGCCACCCGCGGGAGTTCTCCCGGGGACACGTGTCCCCCATCTGCTTCCCCTGGCCAACCCCAAGCAGCCCCGTGGGGAGCTGCTGCGGGACCTGGCACCAAAGGGACCTGGCAGAGCCCGCCTGGGTGCCCAGGACGGGCAGGGTGGCAGGGAGCAGGGCACGGCGCCCACCCGCAGAGCCCCGGGGCCTCGGCTCTCCCCTACCTTCTTCTTCAGGGCCTCCATGTACAGCTCCGCGTTGGCAAAATAGATGGTGGCGGAGGAGCGGAAAATCCTCACGCCAGGGACCTCCTGAGCCTGGGGGACACAGAGGGGTGGGCAGCCCGCAGGGACATGGGGGCACTGCACTGTCCTCCCGTGTCCCTGCCCTCTCCTCCTGTCGGCTCTGGTGTCCCCAGAACCTCCCGGGTCACCTCTCTGAAGCCTCGAGCCCGTGTAGGTGCCTCAGGTTGCCCTGGCCTCCTGCAGACGCCTCCTCTCGCACCCCGGGTTTTACCTCCTTGTATTCAGCCACGTCCCTGTAGACATCCGTGTCGGGAACGTGCCCCAGGATGGAGTAGTGCGGCCTGCGGGGAGCAGCGAGAGGAGCTCGCGCTGGCGACGGCACCATCCCGAGAAGCGGTGCCCGAGCGCTGCCTTGCACGGGCCGCGCGCCCGGGACGACACGAGAGCCCCGGGCAGCCCGGGGCTCCTCCACACTGGGC